GCCACGGGCCCCGCCCGGGGCCCGGGACGGCTCCGGGGCGGGGGGGGCCAGCCGCTGAGGCTTCCAACCTGGGAAATGTCCCCCTGGGCAGGGGGGGGGCGGGACTCAAGGGTGACCCATCCCAGAGAAGGGCTGGAGCACCCATGGGTGAGACTCACCGGAGGAGTGCCTGTGCAAGGGGGGTGATTTACAGCACCCTCAGCCTTTGCCCCATTCTCAGGAGCCACACAGCTCCTGTCCGGGAACCGCAGCGTTTACAGCAGGCTGACACCTTCCCCAGCCGGGCTGTAAATCACGGTGCAAGGCAGAGGCTCCGCTCGCCCCCAGCCCGTGCCCAGCTCTGCTCCGCCAGGCCGGCAAAGTGGCCCTCGGGCTGCCAAATAAGACCCATGGTGGGGTATCACCCAGGGGATGGGAGGGGAGATGGGGTAGGAGCAAAGCCCCCCTTCCCTGCGGTCCCCCACATCCCATCGGTTGGCTCCCCACCACCCCAAACCATGCAGACACAGGGGTGGAGCCACACTGCCAGCAGTAAAATGATTTATTTCTTACTGAGAGCTGGATCCTACAGGGGTTGGCAGCACATCGGGCAGGAGAGGCTGCAAGGGGCCCCCTCTGGTGCCTCTCCACGTGCATGTGCACCTCGCACACCCGCTCACGCCCACCCATGCACAGTCCCCACACACACGTGTGCACACACACTCGTGTGCACAGCAGCACATGTGCACCAGCTGTTTCAAGCCCCTGTGCCATGCGGCGGAACACGGCGGGATGTGGGGTGGAGAGCAGGCAGGGCCACCCCAGGCTCCCCCTGCCAAGCCCAAGGCACCCTGTCCACGTGTGACCCGCCCCTGCAAACCACATAGGCAGAACCAGCCCCATTTCATGTCCCCAGACCCTGTTACCTGTGGGCTGGGGAGCAATGGGTCCATGCCAGATGCCATCTGGCTCCAGTGGGAGAGGATGGAAGCCCCAGTCAGTGGGTCTGGCACACACAGTATTGTCACCTGGTCCCCAAAACCAGACAAGACAGCCCCCACCTCCTCTCCACATCCTTCCTCTGGCACTGCCAGCCCGTGTGTCCCCAAACACCGCCGGCCTGCAGCAGGGTCCCCAGTGCCCGAAGCACCCTTGCACCCCCTGCCCAGCTGCAGGACATGGCAAGTGAGGGGTGCACGTGGTAGCACAGGGGAAGGGATGGGAATCTGGGGGTGCAGCTTTACAAACAGCCACTGTAAGCCACGGCAGGACAGCTTGTGCCTCTCCTGCTCTGCCGGCTTTCACTACTGCCTGGCCCCTGTCATCCTCCCAGCATGTCCCAGACACAGCCTGAGTCCCAGCATCAGTGCAGGTCAATGTTCTCATACTCCAGGTTGTCAGAGTCCTCCAGCTCAATGCCAGGTACCAGGTTGTAATAGTTGGTCGACTGACTCATGTAGATCTTCTCCCGGTCGGCAGAGTCCTTCAGGACTTCACTCACGCTGACGGTGTCCACCTCTGGCTCGCTGCCCCCCAGCTCCTCTGCCCTCGGTGTCGGGGTGTCCTGCTGCCTGTCCGGCCCCGTGCCCCGCCACGCTTCATGGGCCAGCACCTGGGAACGGCTGGGGGATCCCACCTGGATCTCCACCTCCTCGTAGAGGTCCCTGCTGCTCTCCAGTGGGTCCACAGAGGGCTGGAGCAGGACCTGGCTCCCCAGCAGCACCTTCTTAGTCTCAGAGGGGACGGCAGGCAGCTCGTAGGGGACGTAGTGGTGGGGCTCTGCAGGCACTGGTGTGTTGCCCCTTTCTGCTGTGGCCAGGTGGCTCTGGGACCTGCTCTGAAGGCTGTAGTTGGTCTTTCTCTTCTGCCTGCAGAAGCACCAGGTGATGCTGACAAGGATGAGGAGAGGGGGCAGGCAGATGAAGAGGGCGGTGAGGCTGTGCGAGCGGCACAGCTCATCCCGGGGGATGCTCTGGAGGTCCATGCCACGGTACTGCTCTGGAGTGTGGCAGATAATCTCAGCGACCAGGCCGGGCCAACCCTCCAGGTTGCTGAGCAAAGCGCAGCTGCAGTCCCAGCTGTTGTTGGAGAGCTGGAGCTGGAGCAGAGATGGCTTCAGGAGGCTGGTGGGAAGGAATGTCAGAGCGTTGAAGCCCAGGTAGACCTCCTGTGCCTGGGTGGATGCTTTCAGGAAGGACTGGGGCAGCTCCTGGAGCTGGTTGCTGTCCAGATAAAGGACCCTCAAATTAGGGGCATCTTCCAGAAAGCTTCCAGGGAGACTTTCCAGCAGGTTGTGACTTAAGTGCAAGATCTCCAAGGCAGGGGGGACTCCCTGTGCGTTGCTGATATCCGTGATGCTGCAGTGTGAGAGGTAGAGCTCCCGCAGCCCCCGCACCCCTACCAGTGCGCCCCAGTCCAGGTGGGTGATGTTGGAGCTGGTGAAGTTGAGGCAGCAGCTCTCGGGGAGCGGAGCCTCCCGGAAAGCCTGGAAGTCCATGGGCTCCGTGCAGTTGCAGCTTTGCGGTGCTGGGTCGAGGGCAAGGCCGGCAGCGAGCAGGAGGCTGCCCCAGAGCGACACGGTCCCCAGCCCAGCGCCTGCGGGGAGAGCAGAGGGGACGGGT